CCGGGCTCGGGAGTCTTGCCGAGCTCGGAGCCCTCTCCCTGGACAGCATGCCAAATATGCATAACCTTCATTTAATTATAAGAAAGTGTGAACTCGTGAAATGCTCCCATAAGCACTTGCGCTCCTCAGCTGAGCCTATACTCTGGTGATACAATGTTGCATAGACTGTCCAGTAGTAGTCCAAAGGGTAGGGGGTGGGGGGCATTAAGGGCACTCAGGAGTACCTTTCAGAAAAAAAATGGACACTCTACGGTCACATGCATGCGATGGTTGTCACAAGTCTGCAGGACTGCAAGTTGGGACAGGGCCTGAGTACATGTGACATGTACTTATGAATAAATTTGCATTAACTGAACATACAGAGATGGACACTTTCCTCCCATATGCTCACTCACATATAATCATATCTCTTATTTTTCTACTGATCCTTCTATTTTTGTACATTGTGATGTTTGTGCTAAGGTCTTGGTTAGGACCTTACTCTAATGCTGTGAAAAGTACTGTTGTGTTTTATGAGTCGAAAGACCCGACCAAGCATTAGTGCAGCAAATTCTCAACAACTGTTGGTGTAAATTTTCATTTTGAGTCATTACATTTGGGTGTCCACACAAGTGTGTATGTCTCAGTCTATGTGTGCTTATCTTCTAAATTAATCTTGTATGTGTATTCAAGATTGTATTTGCAAACATGAATGACTCATTAAATGGTGTTTTTTAAATAATACATTGCCTCAGTGATGTTTGTTAGCAACAAAACATCACACACAAGTCACTATTTAACCCTGATCTCATGTTGTTGGTCTATAGATGATATCTTCCTGTTGTGTAGTTTTAACAAAACCAATAAAAGTATGATAGTCACACCCTGCTGATAAGCATTTGTTGTGTTTTGGATGGTTTTACTGGTTAAAAGCATGCTAAACCAACACCAACACTTACTAGCAGGAACAAGCTTTGACCAAGCTAAAAACACATGCTATAAAATGGTAATTTCACCAGGAAACTGTGTTAAAAACATCAAAATTTTGCAAATGTAGCAAATTAACACTTTGTTACAGCATTTGTTGTTGCAATGCAACAGTAACTGATCTGTTAGTCTCTAATGCTTAGAGTAGCAGATGGTCAGTCTGTTTAGAGTACATCACCGTTGGCTAAAGGATGCACCAATCTACCTGTTTAACGATTTCTACATATAATCTTGTGTTTAATGTACTTTGGCAATGGTACATCTCTCAACAGACCTGTAACAGTTGGCTAAGCAGCACACAGTGCAGGCAGATTTATTGCAACCTACGTCACGTTGCTGTAGACAGGATATCGCTCCAGCTGTCCCCAACTCACCCTCATTTACTTTCTCCTCTTTGTAATTTCTCATTAGGATTTGCCGCTGTAGCACCCGATTTGGTACCTTTTTATTTGTGCTGCTATATAAAGGTTGAGTCTTTCACTCTTTTTTCATCTTCCTCCCATTGTCCATATTTCCGATAGGAGCCCTGCTAGGGAAAGAAATACTAATTAAACCAGCCTAGGTTGTTTTGTTGATATTCACCTGGTCTTACACAAGGTTTTGCCGAATTTAGAGAAAAAATTATTGACTCCCTTTGAATTCATGTGTGAGAATTTGAATTGAACTTTTTCAAAACATGACTGTGAAGTCAACAAACGTGGCATTGATGAACGTTGTTTTTCTAGTTAACAATTATGTGTCTATGTCTTTACATTCAAATTGCAATTCTGCATCCTGTTCTGCAACCTCGTTTCGAAATCGAACTTGAATTTAAAAGGCATTCTGGAAAATCAGTAGACCAACTTAGGCTGGTTTAAATGGTTCGCTTTAATATTTAGACTTTTGTTCAGACAAAGAATTTACATTCCCTCCCTTTATGTTGGAAGGTAACATTCTGCCCTTACACAAAGCAAAATACATATTTCATGCCCAAAAAAGCAGAGGACGAATCATTTGTTAAACAAATGTTGCTCACTGTTGCTAACAGATTTCCTTGTAGCATAAATAGTTGAGTGTGACACAAGCAATGACAAGGTAATGGAGTTTGATTTCTAGGGAACTCACATAAAAGTTCATGCCATACTGCATTAAAGTCAACAGTGAGTGTTACCTTAGCTATGTGGAAAATGGAGCTAACTTAGCTAACACCCACATTAATAGGAGCCTAAATAGTTTAGCTCCTGCTTTGGCATACGTGCGCTAGCTTACCTTGCACTCTGGGTTCAACTGGATGAGAAATTGGGTCTGAGGGCGTGTTAACATAGAGGGGGCTGGGCAGGGCTAATGTTATCCTCTCGTTAAGCAGCACTTTGAATATGCTATATTTAGCGCTCCATGAGAGGGATATTAACCCATCTCCCCTAATCTGATTAAATGCTTAATAGCCCTGTGCTCAACAGTCTAGGGTAGTTACAGCGCTCGGGTTTATGGGTATTGTACTGTAACACATATGCCCAGGTTAGAGCGCACTCCCTTACTGTCGAATTAAGATTGTTGGGTCAGTGTGCCCTAAATTTTGCTGAGACGAAGATACAGAAAAAAAAGATTCAGAAAGAAAATGTATATGCTGAAAGTTCTTTCTTTCTCAAGTTCACCTCCTTCTCATGCCTTGAGACAAAGCAAACAAAAGCTTGCTCTGCTAAGCTGCAATCTTGGACAATTCATCCACTGACCTAGCCTCAAGCAAACCATGTGACATGCTAATTAATCTGTTTTTACTTATTCATTTCTGTTTTTACTTATTCATTTGTGCCATTTGTATGCAGTTCCTCATGCTAGGCGATCCCTTCCCAAGACTATGAACTGGCACTTCATGTGCTATTTTGAGAGAAATGAAGCCAACAGCCCTACCTTCTGTCTTCGTTCAATCTGGAGTGCCTCCTTGTGACAAAAATGACATACTGCATCCTAAATGAGCCGTGTAAAAATACTCCAGCTGCTTTGCAATTTTGCAACATAAATTGATTTAAATCAAACACATCTTTAGGAGTTACAAGGGCCAATAAATACTGTTAAATGGCTTTGTACTTGCAAAACTAGTGCAAATCAGAGATGTTTGATTAATGGATTACAGAAATGCCCTATTTCTCGAAAGCCTTGAACTTTCTCTGGGTTTGGTCCAGATGTCATAAGGTCTGTAATACAATGGATTCTGGTTCTTAACAATACATATGGTTCCTTCATTTATGAGCACTTTTGGCCCTGTGGACTTTAAAAAAATATCATAGCAAAAACATCATTTGCATATAAGCGCTAATTTTTTTTTTTTACATTGCTAAAATGATCTATAATAACATTAATAATATTCTGTCAGAACACATGATTACTTTTGAATGGCTTTTGGATTATTGCAGAAAATAAGTTTTACTGTTTTAATGATAATCTTCACAAATGAACACAAGTTGTATGAATTTTAAAGCCAAAATGCAGTCGTTAAAACTAAAAAGTTAAACATAGGCTATTTACAAATGGCAACACGGTCACATGCCTTCAGCGTTACCACCACTGAACTTCCAGCTCATTCAATCTTCATTTAAAATCTACAAATGGGAAAATGTGGGTTAGAATAGTTTGCAAGAGCATGATTATAAACAACGAGATCGTGAAAGCAACTAGTGAGTAGATGAGTTTTCATGCTCGGTGTGATGACATTTAATTTCACAGACAACTTGCTTGTGTTAACCACAGACCTTATTTCAGACATTTAACCAAAAACCTATTAAAAAAACTAATTGACTTCAGGACGATGGAACCGGAAGTGCATAAATGCATAAATGCAAAAAAAAAATTTGTTTTAAGACTTATTCATGCAGCAAGATACTTTCTGCAGCCAGACGAAGCAGCTATTGCATCCACCCACCAGGGCTGAGTGAACCATGCTAACTAGCTGAGATCTTACATTCACCTACACCTTAAAATATAATATATTTGTTTTAATGATATTTGATAGCCACATTCAATTAATTGTGCATTTGGAGTGTGTTTCTAGCCAAACTGTGACATATATCTTCTTGTATTAAGACATATTTATTTGACTGTTCTGTATTGCACGTATACATATATGGAAAAACATTTAAAAAGTCACGTTTTCAGAAA